ATAGACACCAGTGGACACTGATATACCATAGAGTAGATATACACCAGTGAACACTGATATACCATAGAGTAGATAGACAGTAATAGACACTGATATACCATAGAGTAGATATACACCAGTGAACACTGATATACCATAGAGTAGATATACACCAGTGAACACTGATATAACATAGAGTAGATAGACACCAGTGGACACCGATATACCTTGGGTTGATAGACACCAGTGGACACTGATATGCCTTGGGGTTGATAGAAACCAGTGAACACTGATATACCATAGAGTATATAGACACCAGTGGACACTGATATACCATAGAGTAGATATACACCAATGAACACTGATATACCATAGAGTAGATAGACAGCAATATACACTGATATACCATAGAGTAGATATACACCAGTGAACACTGATATACCATAGAGTAGATAGACAGCAATAGACACTGATATACCATAGAGTAGATATACACCAGTGGACACCGATATACCTTGGGTTGATAGACACCAGTGGACACTGATATACCTTGGGGTTGATAGACACCAGTGAACACTGATATACCATAGAGTAGATAGACACCAGTGAACACTGATTCACTATAGAGGAGATAGACACCAGTGAACACTGATTCACTATAGGGGAGATAGAAACCAAAGTATACTGATATAGCACAGGGTCGATAGACACCAGTGAACACTGATATACCATAGAGTAGATAGACACCAGTGGACACTGATATACCATAGAGTAGATATACACCAGTGGACACTGATATACCATAGAGTAGATATACACCAGTGGACACTGATATACCATAGAGTAGATAGACACCAGTGGACACCGATATACCTTGGGGTTGATAGTCACCAGTGGACACTGATATACCATAGAGTAGATAGACACCAGTGGACACTGATATACCATAGAGTAGATATACACCAGTGGACACCGATATACCTCAGGGTTGATAGACACCAGTGGACACTGATATACCATATGGTCGATACACATCAATAGACACTGATATAACATAGAGTAGATATACACAAGTGAACACTGATATACCATATGGTCGATACACATCAATAGACACTGATATACCATATAGTAGATACACACCAGTGGACACTGATATAACATAGAGTAGATAGACACCAGTGGACACCGATATACTTTGGGTTGATAGACACCAGTGGACACTGATATGCCTTGGGGTTGATAGACACCAGTGAACACTGATATACCATAGAGTAG